ATCTCTTGTCTGCACAGCTTACTGCAGAGGACACTAGTGCTGAGGCCATGGCACTAAAGAAGAGAGCACAGGATRTGGAGAACCTATGGCCTAATGTTGAGCAGGCAACTGGTTCCTTGGTAAAGTATGTGAAGCAGCAAGAGCTCTTTCCTARGAGGGGAAAGGGTGCTGTTGCTGCTTCAGACACTGGCTTGTTGAAGCAACCTSCAAGCAAGCGCCCAGAGGGWRGCATTGGCTTGAAACGCCCAGCAGCAGGCCGCAGCTTGGGCTTGGGCCTCAAGTGTGTTGTCAAGCATTCTGCCTTGAGCAGCAAAAAGCCTATTGTTGCTGCTGCAAAGAAGGCTAGTCCTGGTGGCTTGCCCAGTAGCCAGAGTGCTGCTGGCTTTGACTATGTTGATAGCTTCTCTGATTGATTGCCACCATTGATTCAAATGCTGAGGGCATCAATATCTCTAGTGGTGGTTCTTTTCCTCCTGTTTCTCCACCTTTAGGATGCATCACTGTCTCTTTTGTACAAACAGAGAAGCTGTGGTGTGCTGTTGTGATCCCTGYGATTGYTGTTGATAGCCCCCAGGAAGTATCTCCTTGTGGAGATAATAGTACKCCTATTGTAAACTTGYAATAATAGAGACGATTTAAATTGTAAACTGACTCACTGTAATATTCTAAAWCAGTACGCCCAGAAGGACTCAAAGGCCCAACTTGCTGGTCTTTGGGGTATAGCTCAAGTCTATTCCAACAACTCTTGGTAGATATCATTATTACTAAAAATAAACTGYATATAAATAGTACTGCTGTAGAATGGAAGGATCTTGCRTTGGATCCATTCCTCTTGAGTATGTCKCAACTGTAACTGAATCAATCTAGTGGAYTCATCATAATCAATTTGGCTGCAAGGCAAGCTGCTCCAGTGATTGGAATCCAGGCATCTGCAGTGCAATTCAATTTTGACAGGCCCAGAAGGAGCCAACTTGCCAGCAAGCCAGTCCCCAGGGGATTCCTCTAGTCTGTTGCAGCTACTCTCTGAATCAGCTGCGTTCTTTGCTGGAGACTACCRAGGTGCTRTTGTTGTTGCTTCTTCAATAAAAGCGCCTAGGCTGGTAGATGACATCCACAGTGTATCCACAGTGGTCAAAGGTTGAATCAAAGGGACCCAGTGTTCTATAGGCCTCTGTTCTAAGTGCTTGCTCAAGATCCGCAGTTGTCCAGTGAGGCCTTGCAATCTTGCTCACAGCACCAATTAGATCACAGATCTTGTACTTGATAGGACCATACTTTGGTTGATATGGAGGCCTAGGAATAGATATGAAGTGGGTCCCTCCTCCAGCWGGTCTGTCATGAAGCGCTTGAGCTAGTACCATGGCARTTAGATGAGCTCCTAGATTGTCCCAAAGGAGACCTGGTGTGTATCAGTATCCCCAGGCACTGGATACTGCTCAATATCAGTACAAATCTCATCAATGAACTGAGCAAAGGTCCAAGCTGAAGTGCCTGCTGTTCTAAGAACCTCAATCCATCTTCTTGGATTGGCAACACTTCCTCTGGTTGCTGGTACCTTGATCCATCTTCTAGGATTTGCCACACTGCCTCTAGTAGTCTCAGGAGGAAGCTGGGGATCCCCTGGCTTCTTGATACCCAGCAATAGTTAGCTTATCAGTCCTCTCATAGTGTCCTGATTGTCTAACCCTCCTGCTTGTGATTGCCCATCCATACTTGCAATTAGTCCTATGCATGTTGAAAACAAACTCATCCACATCAATGAACTTCCTCCTTGGTATCCCCACTACTCCAAGGGGGAAAGAACGAGTCCAAAAGAACTTGCATCTTAGCAAGTTCCTAGGTGTGAAGGCCTGATAGGCTTCAGTGGACTTCCTTTTCCTTGTCACCTCCATTCCCCTMAGTTGCCTGGAGATATCTACTCTGGAATAGACCCCCCCCCTCATTATAAATTAATGTTGCCAAATCATCAAAGGTGGCAGAAGGATTGATAGTTGAACCAATAGTAGCAAGGAGGTAGATGAGGTCTGGCCCAACAAGCTTGCTTTGATCTCTATTGCCTGTCTTTCTATATGGATCAAGTTGCCTGCTCCATCTTGAAAGAGAAGACTGACTAGCAGAAGTAGGAATGTCAGCAGCCTTCCTTTGCAGTTCCTGTTACCTAAAGAAGACAGCATAGCCTTCACTCCCTCCCTTTCCAGGATGAGGCCTCTCAGTTCTTCTCAGTTGCGTTAGTCTAAAAAGAACAGCGCTGGCTCTGATCTTTGATATCTTATCAGCAGCTGGTGGATCAATAGGCATGCTGCTTGCTGACAAAAAAGAAGCAAGTTGTCAAAAAAAAAGAAGCTACACTAATCAGACCAAAGCAACACTTCTACTGGGTCCTTTTCCACAGTTCAAGGATTGTTAAATTGACAATTGAAGAGAGCTATCCAGTGATACCAACTACAGTGTCTGAGGTTGAGTACTAGAACAAGCACTCAAAATATGTGATTCCCATGGTTGGTTGCTTTGAACCATTTTTAAAAAATAGAATGAAAGAACAGTTCTAAATCGTGTTGGAGGCAGCAGTTTTACTAGGCCACAGTACTACAATTTTGAATGAGGAATCAAAAYCCTTCCATTTTGAGCAAAATGAGCAGTCTACCCCCTTCTTGATCCACAATTTTCTWCAGCATTTTCTACACAGCTGTTGTACTACAGAGGAGCTCCAAATAGATCCATTTTGCTCCTTGATGCTGGTGAGGAGCTGATCCAGCTGGATCAGCAGCTGCTGGGCCTGCCGACATGCCTACAGTGGGGTTAGTAGTAGTAGTAGTACTTGCACTGCTCATGCGTACGCCAATGTAGAATAGTTGGCAACTTTGGCTGCAAGTTGACAACTTCGATTCAAAGTTCTTAATTTTGTTTTAATGCTTCAAGTCCTAACTGGAGAGCACTTGCGCGCTCGCATGGCCATATTAAATTGTTATGAAACGCATAGTACTACCCTATAGCATTCATTCTAGAGAATAATCAAAATTCTTATGTACTGTAATACGTACKGTACCGTACGGAGGTATGGTTTTGCGTTAGTATTGGAATAGTGATGCTCTATTCGGCGATTGTGTGACAAGAATACCAGAACCGTTATTACGTATTAAAAATCGCGCATGACTTCGATCATGATTTTTCATATTCGAATTCCGCCGGCCTGTTTCTCGTTAGGTGTACGTTGTCGCCGGCAGGTTTCACCTTCCTCACAAAATTTATTTTCGAGGTATTTTGGATGYGTCCCGTTCTGTTCGACGACAAAAATGGTTGGTTTGTTTCAMTAATAATCAAAGTAGACATCAACTTCCATCGATAACAAATACTTGCTACATTGRTTCAAGGACAATCTCGAAGACTAAAGAAATAACGAGATAAGAGCCTAGTTATCAAAGCGGGAACAAGTGATCAAAAAGACCCCTGAGGTCGTAGRAAAATGGCGTCAGTGAAGGACCGAGCACGTATGTTCGGTGAACTGGCAAGTCCTCCTAAAGGTGAAAATGAGAGAAGTTTTCGTCGAATAGGCACGAAAGTAACTTCCTCGCCATTTTTATCACCTTCTTCCAAGAAGACAACACCGACAGCCTCAAAATTCTCTGCGTCACCTTTCGYGTCTAGTTCTCCAAAGGTGTCAACTTCTGAAGTCGTCGGAAGATCGCCAAGTGTGCAGCRAAATTTTTCAATCCCGAAAGAAAAGAAGATTATTTTATCATCACCATCTGGGGCACGGGATACAAAGGAGTCTATGGGTTGGCCCRCCGAAGATGGAATTCCAACACCTGGTGCTATTAGGAATGACAACAMAATCACTGAACCGGAGGAAAAAGTGGGCCCTGTGAGTAAATTTGCAAATAGCCCGTCTCCATTCAAAGTGATTAATAATCAAGGGACACAACAAGGTCTGCATTTGGTTTCTGAGTTGGCGAAATCGAAGGTGGGCGTTGGAAATTCACCACTCAAGACTCTTCAGATAAAGGAGAAACAGTTTAAGGCCCCTGTTTCCGTACCAAATAATACTTTAAAACCATGGCAGAAAAAAAGAGATGAGAGTTCGATTGTTTCRAAGCCAAATCAAGGAAATGWAAGTGAGCCTCCTGAAACAAAAGAACCTACACAGATACATATCAAGGAAAAACAGTTCAAGSCCTCCATCCCCGCACCAAACAACACTTCGAAACCATGGCATAMCAAAGCCAAAGATAGTCCAACTTTGTCGAAGGAGAAACAAACAAGTAATACTAGTGCCATTCCCAACGAAAAGACTCCTGATGAGYTAGAGAATCCAGCGCAGAATCAAGCGTCGTTGAACGGTAACGAGAACAGCCAATCCAATGCGAATACACGTAATAAATCAACCCGAGCTATCAGGCTCATGAGAGCGAGGCGTGCGAATGGTGCTCCACCAACAAACGTATCAACAAGTTTGAAGCAGTCTCTTCAAGCAGCTAAGGTCGTRATGCAAGAAGAAAAGAGCGACGCAGGCGCATCAGATACATCCTCTCGTTCTTCTCTCAGCAACAAAGAATTAAGCGACATCGCAAAGAGAGCATTGAAGAGGTCTAAGGACACKATTCAGAATGAATCAAAACTAGCATTGTTCACTAGCATGAAAGGTTCTGAAAGTAATTTAAACGATTCAGAACGGGAAGCTCGACGAGCCCTACTCAGACTGACCACCACTAAACAAAGGAGAACGGTTATAGGTGGACGATCGGTTGGGGAAAGTGACTCCTCAGTTGAATTGGGTTCTAAAGCCAAAGAAACGGCAATCAAAAAGTCAGTGATAACAGGCAAAGATGGAGGTTCTTTGAGTGAAATTGATATTGTCGGAACACTATCTAAGYGTTCCAATGACGTCAGTAGAAGTAGAAGGCTGGATCACCCAGCGTTTGCTGGACGGTCAGGAGGGAAAACAAACGTATCTTCGGCGCAYATTTTGGCTAGTTTTCGGCACTTCAATRMAGSGCGAACAAGTAACGGAGCAGGTGAGTTATTTTCTGGATTTTCTTTTGATATTGAAAGCCAAATTTCTGTCATCCTAACCGGATTCTAAATGTTGTCATAAATGCTAAAGGTGATTCGAATGCCTCAAACAAGAATCAAGACGAACTGAAGCGATCACTTTCAGGTGATGATTCTTTGAGTTCGGAAGCATCGTCAACCGCGTCGCTCGAACAAGATCAGACGATGCATTCTGTGAGCGAAAGGCCAGGATTATTTCCTAACTCAATGCGTGAGAGAGTTGGAGAATCAATGCGTTCCATGAGCGAACACGCAGGAGAATCAATGCATTCGACAAGTAGTAGAAAACATGCAGATCAATTTTATCGRATGCATAGAGTACAAGTGGTCTCAAAACATAATTGTAACGATACCGTAATAAGCTCTTTGTCCGGTAACACTCGTTCTTGCCAGTCAATCATGAGCCAATCTCTTCCAAACAAAGTTGTACAGCCGAGTCCGATAAATAAAAGACATCACAGTGCATCCTCTCTCCTGGATCCTACGCCCGAATATTCATCGCAAACTATGAAGTCACCTGGTCCATCAAATCGATCCAGTCATTCGTTTGCGAATTCTATCAATTCCGCAACTCCAAGAGTTGGCCACAAAAGCCCATCGTTTAGGGACCGCGTCGATACTTCTTTCATGGATACCCTGGAGGAAATTCAATCTTCGAGCCAAGAGTCAGGAGCAAATTCTGCAGATCTTATGGATGCAGCCCTCGAAGCTGCTGTCGATGATATGGGCATTATCACGTCGCCATTGAATGCCGGTTCAYATTCAAAAATTAGTGAGATGAAAGATGACCGTTCGACAGGAATATCGATTCTGCCAAGTTCTTCTGGACGTTCCCATTCTCCTCCAGGGTTTGTTTTCAAAGATACGGAGGAGAGTGATGCTGGAGGTCCACCTGATCCGGTTGGAGCAGACGGTATCGCTCCATTGGACAGTATATTTGGTGCAGACGATGATACCTCAACATCAACCAATGGGCAGGGCGAYAAGTTGAGAGAATCCGTCGACGATGTCAAGGAAGGCGCTAAGCATGGTAGCACTTCAACAAAACAAACTGTTTCTASTAGCATTCGCAGTGGAATGTCCAGTATTCAAAATGCTCCCATCGTGGACGACCAGAATAAAGAAACAGAAGGTTCTACAAGCATCAGAACGGGACTCTCTGGCATTCAAGGGTCGGCTGATATGGAAAATTCAATCAGCATTCATAATACGACTAAAAAAACCAACACCAACGAAGTCGGAAACAAAGATTCCGAGACGCCCTTATCTGTCGAAGAAGGAGTTCGAAAAAATGACGYCTCTGATTCAAAGATGACGCAAAAATCATCAAATATGATCACCCCTACGTATCCCGACACGATCGAAGAAGAAAGTGAAACCAAATCCACTGAGAAATCAACGTTGACRAAATCAACGTTGAAGAGTGACAAAAGTGAAACCAAATCCACACAGAAATCAACTTTGACGAGTGACAAYATGTCTTGCTCGGTCCTCAAAGCAAAATCGACCGCAACAACCGATGGATCCTCAGGAAATACGTCTTCTTCTATTCAGGTTTCAGTAGACTCGTCAAACAACACCAACAACGATCTGAATATGGGCAGGAACATTCTCCCACCTCTCCAAACCGCCAATTACTCTACAAATGATGAAATATCAAATAATGGCTTAAGCYTGTTATCACCAACATCTCGTAACTCCCGTCCGTGGAAAAGCATCGGCAATGCGATCAAAAATGTATTGGCCAAAGCATCACCGAGAGCAAGTGGTCATGCGGCCCTTTCAAATAATGGCAATCTTCCTGAGCGTGACGAATGCGAGAGTCTCTTTTCCGATGATGATGATGATATTTTTGGAGGTCTTGAAGTTGAAGATGATGAAAGGAAAAAGAAAATCTATGGCAAGGCATCAAAGCAACCAAGTGTCAAGTCAAGTGGAGAGAAAGAGGGTTCCATCTCCTACAGAACTGTTGAAGCGAGCAATAAGCGAAYACCAACAACCAGTTTGAGAACTCAAACAAAAAGCACGAGGACGCAATCGCAATCKCAAAATATGAAGTCGTCAATCAACAGCAGGAGAACGCAATCCCAAACTATKAAATCACCATCAAACAGCAGGAGAACTCAATCTCAAAGTATGAAATCGCCATCAATTAGTAGGAGAACACCTGTGAGCACTAGACAAACACCAACTAACAGTGCGCGAAAGTYTCTCAAGAGTGGCACTGCTCGATCTGGCGTCAKCAACAATCCAACCACCAATATTTCCTTGCACGATAAGAAAGATGATCTGCTACAAAGCGGTGCTGAGATTGAAASAAGTCAAAATGATAGATCAGGTATGGTTGTTGACGAATCTGAGGTTGTCCACAACGTCAACTCTGACATAACTTCATCTCTTATCGGTGGCCCAATAAGCGGTCCCTCTCCATTCCAAAAGGCGATGAATGAAGCCACCAAAATTCTTGAACAGAACGTTCTTGAAAATGTCGACAGAGGCAATGAAACGGAAGCTTCCGAGACCTTCCTAGAATCACAATTCCTTAAAGAAGACGAGGGAGAATCTTTCACTTTGTTAATGGAAGAATCAGAGACTTCTTTCGTTGAACAGAAATTTTCTAAACCTGTTAGCAAAGGAATGGCAAAGMCGAAAGAARAGGTCCGAATAGGAATATCGGGAGAAAAACAGGAGGAGGAAAATGAAATTAATTGCATGTTTCTCAATTTTGGGTGTACATTTACTGACCCATGTGGTGGACTTGCTAGTTTGTGCACTCCAGCAAACAAACCCGAAAATAAAGATGTTGAAGAASTCGTTATTGAAGATGCCGATGTTGACAAAGAAGACTATGTCTCTGTTAGTTCACAATCAGATCTAACGATGCTAGAGAAGAAAGTTTGGAACGAATGGGATCGCTTGAATGAGACCGTTTTGAACAAAAATCAAGSCGATGGAAAAAGGGATAAGTTTGAAAAGAAGCGAGAAACAGCTCGAGATAAGCTGTTAAACATTGCTACGGCGGCTATTACACCCCACATCGGTAAAKCTAGTGAAGCTACTCTTGTCGACGATGATACCAAAACCAATTTTACGGAAGTCCACACTGTCTCGGCGTCGGGGTCTACTGAATCGTATTCGACGAAAGGAACCGAATCTGGAGCTTCAAGCGGTATGGAATCGGGTGATTCYATGGGATCATTTTCTCAGGAATCAACACGGGGATACAGCACTTCATATTCTACCGAYGAGGATTCRGAAGACGCATCTGAGGCTCCCTCTCACTCTAATGATGGCAGAAAGACTTCAACAACGATGATGACACCAACCGCGGGTCCGATACTTCTATCCTTTAGTCAGAGAAGTTTGATGGAGAAATTTTCGAAACAACTGACGGCAGTTGGTGTTCAAGTTTTGAAGTTGAATACACGCAGGCAATGGCAGACACGATTCTTTACGGTATCTACGGAGCAAATTGCACTATCAGCTCACGAAGCTATCAGCAAAACGGGAGAAATAGCTCAGTGTCCGAAGGCCTTGTTATGGCTAAAGAAATTCAATCCTAAGAGCGGAGGATATGGCATCAATAATATTGATGGGAATGGGCACGGAGGGATGCTATTAGTAGATCTCGTCGATATCGAAGTTTGCGACAGGAAAGATGATATGGTAGGAAATCCCATCCCGAAGAAGCTGGTGGATAAGTTTGAGAACTCCGTTCTAGTCACTCTCAAGTAYAAGATGAAAGGAGTCCTCCGTTCCATCGAGTTCCGATGTAGACATAACGACGAAGCCCAATTCCTATGTACGTGCATGAGAGTCATCCGTGATTTGCTCCGAAGAGAGCGTTCTTTGAGACAAAAACTAAGCAAGCAGCAATCATCAACTAATAAAAAGACGTCGTCCTCATCGCGGAGGACATAGTGTGGCCAGCAAGCAACCATTTGGGTAAAACTCAAAGAACGCGATGAATAGGGCATAACGCGATGCATCAAGAGGAGCGGATGAATTCACATGTATAGTAGGTTCCATCCCGGATCGTTCGTCACAATTGTAAAGTAGAAAATATGTTATGAATGACTTCAAATACTGAACACCAATTTTATTCAATATCCTCTCTAGACMCATTACTCATGGTGAAGAAAAAAACAGAGAGGGGAGGCTAGATTTAAGAATCATGGCCAGACACTTTGGGATGATTGACAAAAAGTAACCAATGCTAAAATATTWTTTTGTGAATTGAATCAATACTGCATTCAAATCGATTTAGAAATGTAGTAAATTATTCATAAATTTGTCTAGCAAGGGTCCCCGTACAGTATCGTGGAAGAMTGACAAGACACAAAAGCCTTGTTTCGAGACATCCAGGTATAGCTCTCACGAAGACGACAAATGTGACACAAGAATGAATCCAATAGRTTTGATTAATACTCTCTACACAACGTATGATATTCCTTTCATGCTGAATAGACTAGCCAGGTTTTATACCATTTTTTCAAACTCGAATATTCTAGRAAAGAGGCGGYACAAATTATACTGAATGTCTCAGCTCCCATACCTCGCATTGTACATAGCAAGCTGCGCAGGCGGTAGTTTATCAATTGCTTCCTTACTACTCACTCCAGTGTCAGCATGATTTTCTAGCATTTTAGCACATCGCATCCAACCTTCCCACAATCTAGACTCCTCGTAAAGCTTGCCATCGACCAATCGTGGCAAGAGGGTGTGACAAATCCAGTTGTGCAAGCTCTCGTGCTTTGAGCAGACCAAAATACACGTGCGCATGAATGCCAATGGCAATGATTCAGAACCAGTTAAAAAAACACCACTCATGTGATCCAAAGCTGACATCACAACTTGATCGTTGAATATTTCTTCGTTGTCCAAACACATTTTGATAGCATCAAGATATTCTTTCTGTTTCACACCCGCAGCTTCAAAATCCAATTTGTGCAAGAATACAAACTGTTCGCAATGAGTCATTCCCTTAAGCGATGGTTCTTCTTCGTTGGGCTCGTCTCTGAACAGCAGAGCCTGACGCCCGAGCCTTTCTGCCATCTTGCGAAGTGCAGCCATGAAAACGTCACCATCGGCCACAACAAATTCTGGTAACTTTGGTATAAGATCTTGTCGCTTTATAGCAAAAACCACTGGGATCAAGAATCCAGGATTCTTGCGGCTACCCTCAGCCTTCATTTCCTGAATCTTGTAACAAGCTTCAATAAAATCATCGGACACCATATTTTTTTCACCAATTGGTGCGAGRGCGTCCAAAAATGACAGCAGCAGAGATGTTTCTTTTCTGGTCGATGCTTCAGCTACCATGAGAGCTACATCAGAAGCTCCATGTTTAGTCCCTGTGGCCCGAGCAAGTTTTGACATGTTTTGCCTCACTGTCTTGGASACGACATCAGCCTTTTCTGCAGAACTCAGTTCAAAAAGCGTTTTTATCAAGACAGGCCGTCTAATACAAAGCGCCATGTAAAGGATRATTGGCTTCCGAGCGTTGTCCATAGCTTCTTTTTCTTCTTCACTATCTGGTGCCATTGGAGACTTGTGGGATGATTCGCTTTCCTTTTCTTTGGCTTCTCTGTTTGCCTTCTGAATCTTGGTATAATTTTCCTGTGCAAACCTGCAAATAGTTTTGAGCTCAGCAGTAGCAGCTTCGACAACATCATCTGCAATAGTTTGTGATTTTGGATATAGCATGTTTATGACAAGTTTTAGTGCCTTTTCCTCACAACTGCTACTTGCATTTGCTTGTCCAGCTGCCAGACCAACAGCTATTCGAACCGCATCTTTTCGAGATTTTGGATTACTCCGCTGAAAAGAAGCATCGCGAAGAACAAGAAGAGCAGTGTTCGCCCTCTTTTCCGCAGCCTGCCTCGCAGCATTTAGTGCAGCAGACGCTGCAATAGTCTGCTGCGAGTTCTTGCGCGAAGCTTCGGCTGCCTTTTTGGTTATGCCATCGAGATCACACATAGCACTGACCAGGGCTAAAGCCGACGAGCTCAAACGAGGAARASTTCCTAATTTGTGTTGCATCGAGTTGCTAGAATTYGTTGCCACGTTCTTTCTSWCCGCGTCTGATGGTTTTTCGTTGGATCTTTCGCTTGCGTGAACAACGGAACTTACAAAAACATCAAGGCTTGTATCATACTTCCAGTCACTGTCTTGGTCAACTTCATCGTGTTCGTCACGGTATGCATCTTGAACGTATGCCTCATTGATAATTGCGGTGCTTAACGAGGATGCAGCATCTGAGTTAGGAACACTCATGCCATATGAAATAGCGGGAGTTGACGAGAGAGAAACACATGATGTTACCAGGGGAAACGATTCTGCAAGTTTGTCCATAGTTGCCAGTTTCTTTTCATCCTTAATGCGCATTTTGGCACTTTSAATCGAATCCAGTGCCATGTCTTGGGCCTGGTTCAAACCTTCAGCGGGACGAACACCTTTGAGTGTCCAACATAAGCGAGCAGCAACACCGTTTGCAAAATCTGATAATTCAGCATTRCGACTCGACAGGCTATTTACAACAATGCGACGAAGAGCTTCGGATGCCGCCGTCTGGCACTGGCTGTCAAACGTCTTTTTCTTTTTTTCAATTTCTGTACTCTTTCCACCATCTACAAATTTCACATTCAATTCGTATTTCCTTTCTGCTTCGTTTTCCAAAGTTGTTGTGGACCAGGCAGTACCTCCATCTCGCGAATACCACCGYCCTTCTTCCTGTAYCAAAGAGGCACCATTGGTCATTATGGCRTCTACAAGAATATCCAATGTAAATGGTGTCTTCTTCCTGGATGCACCAATCGCTTTGTCCAATGGTCGTTTGGATGGAAYATTTTTGATATTTTCTATGACTAACTCGATTGCATCCACAGTAGATGTTGGGAGTTGAATTCCGTTTCCCAATCCACGTGCAACCTTGGCTGTACGCATCTTAGCCAAAGCATCATCCGTCTCACGTTTTCTTTTTGATGTTCTCTCATCAGCAGCACTTGTGTCCCATTCATAATGAATTTTCGCTTGATTACGTGCGGCACGACCGGCAGTTTTCAGTTTTACGGTGGTTTCGGCCATGCCGAGGGCTTTGTCGGCTTGAATTTTCATACTACACTTTTCCGCAAGAACTTTATGAAGAAGAGCAGACGATTTTGTTTGAACTGATAAAGCATTACGTAAAAGAGTCAAACAAGAGGACTTCACATGCGACCGAACCGCCAATACTGCAGATTTTGATAGATTGTTGTTGTTGTGGTAGGTCCCCTCATCTTGTYCTACATATGATGGTGGATCGGCACACCGTCGTGCTAAACATACTGCACCACTTTTAAAGAAAAGAGGACGGTTGACCGCCAGCGCAGCAATTGCATTGACAGTCAATGCATATGACTTTTGCGACAAGAAAAAGTCGTATTCAAGRGACGATCTATCGATTTTGATATCCAAMGCATTTTCCGCTTCGCTTGAAGGCAGGTTCGATTCAATCTCCAAGTAGGCCAATGCGGCTGGTTTCAATATTGATAGGACTGGCGCAGTTGGCAACCCCGTTACTTCTCCTACCAACATATCTGAAAGCAAATTRCGATCGATTTTGACCTGCCCACCCAACACTGTGAGACCCCTTAAAGTGGAAAATGCGTAATCAGCAATAGATTCCAAAGCTTCCCTAGTAATGATTGGATGACCTGCTGGAAGGTCTTTCAACGAAAAATCGTCACGCTGAAGAACAAATAAAAAGAAGGCAATGAGGTTTTGAGCCGTTGATAATCATGATTCCGATTTCAAACGTCATCCAATAAGCTTACCGTATGTTCTTTTCGTCTTGAGGAGGAATCCTGGGGTTTGCCGGAACAACACAAGCTAGTAAATGCAGCGGGAGAGAACATTGAAGCTCGTTAGAATAATGAGAAAAAGAAAATCCTTCGACACACGAATGTGAAAGAGGCCACGCACCAAACAATTTCAAGAAACTTGATACAAGAGCTTCGGAGAGCGTCGCCTTGCCTCGCTTCCGAAGTTGAAAAGAATAGTTTTTTGAGTACCTAATTGAAAATGGGAAATAGAAAAAAAAAATGTGCATCACGGAATCACGGAAAAAGAAATAATGAGGGACACGAACAGACATAGTGCGCCCTTGAGCTTCCGTTGGAAAAACTTCGTTACAAATCGAACGACGAAAGACGAAAGACGAACGATCAAACTTACCCCCTCTACCATTTGCATGACGGGTGTAAATATCTTGTTGGCGCCTCGATCATCGGCGTCTCGAATGCGCTGGGCTATGTGTTTGAGAGATGGACGAATCGAGGCCGAGGCCGCAATCACYCCACGCGATGCTACCGTCATTTCGGAGGCCTCRGCCGTAAATACTCCCGGGGTGAGACAGGCTATACTCGCTTTGACCCAATACCGCAGCACCTCTCCCTCTCGTTGCATGCGTCGAGCCTGCCGCCGTTTGAGTTGTGTAGGAGGYTGCCGCTGGGTATGAGACGAGCGCTTGCTCGATGAGCTCACGTTTCCCGATCCATACGGACCTGCATTCGCGCTGTTGATATAGTTCACATCCAACCAGCTTCCGGGCTTTTGGAATTCTTTGAAGAGTGTCCGAAAGAATTCCAGGCTAGCACTTCGTTTCGCAGGAATCGTATCCGTTTGAGCAATGTCGAACAAGCTCGGCAACACCAAATCACTGACAATTTGTTGATACACTTCGTCGCACGAGGCCTCCACTCCCTCGGCAACCGAAAGAGCTCCCTGGTAGTAGGTTCGAGCAATACTGGGTGCCGTRTGAGCAGCGATTTCTATCACCGGTCGCAAAATCGTAGCGAGTTCGTCCTGGACACTGCTGCTGCCTTGTTCTTTCATCCCCGAGTGCTGCATCACCTTGTCCAGCGCGTCGACCACACGGGATTCTAACTCCTCCAGGGCTAGTTTCCTGGGATCCTCCATCATTTCTTCGTTGGCCTCGTCGAGCTCCGAAGCCATTTCYGGAGCCGCGTTGTCGTCATCGCTGAGTTCATCGTCCTGCTGGCTTCCCGTGAGACTCGAGAGGTTGTCCTTGAAGACATCCCCGCTGGATCGGAACATGGTGTGGCAGAGTTAATTGCTGTGGTTCACACACAGTAGTTGGTCGGTCGGTAAACCAATCGATAATTGTTGTGTCAAGGTTTCTTTTTACTCAATTCTCGGACGCTCTTCAATTTTCTTCGCGTGGGATCTCGGGCGTGCTTTAGCTATGCAGAGTGGAACCCAGGGCTGTCTCGTAGAGAGCATCGACTTGTCTTCYCGAAATCTACCGGTTGAGCTGATTTTATTGATTGATGATCGATGTCGGTTCAGTGCTGCTCTCGACATACCGTATCATGGGTAGGGTACGAGYACGAGAACGTACGGTAGAGAGGTACGAGTACGTACGGGCATCTGGCATCCCGCCTCTTCTGATCTGCGATATCAAACGAATACTGGGACTGGATCAATCGCGACTAGATTTTTGGGAATACTTCTACTACGAAATTGAAAATTTAGGGTTGTGAGACGAACTYAAAAGAGGCATTGGGTCATTCCCATTAATCTAGATGGTCTAAAAGTCTACTGTAAATGGTCTACTTTAGACTATTTAGTTTAATGGGAATCTTTAAAACAGGGTCCCAATGGACATTTTTTAGGTGATCTTCTAGTCGTCAAGGAATTCGGAATCTCAACAGAAATGACTAACACTGAAAAAGTGTGCCCACGAGTAGTACTAATTAAAACATGAAATTTTTGATACTGCGTTCTAGTACATGCCGGAATAACAGGAGCAGATAAAATTTGTGTACTCATAAATTCCTCTCTTCCCYAAACAAAAGACAGTAGTAGTAGTTGCCTTCCAGCAAACAAAAGGGATGCAACAATGGGTGTCATGGAGACCCTTTGCATATACTGGGCAATCAAGCATAGAGGTTGTTGCTTGAAGGATGAATGGGAAGGAAAACAAAAGACCCCA